GATATTTTATCACATAAAAGGCTGAAAAGTAACATTTTTAGCTGTTAAGTAATTGTAGTGTAGTGAAGGAGAAACATTTAGCTGTCACGTGTCTGCAGTCAATAAAGTAGGAGTTCTTCAGTCTTGTATTATCAATGCTTTGGATGCTGAGCAGTTGTGTCTCTCCTCTCACAGAGGCAGAGACACTAAACCGAGAAGCCAATGAGCGGTTTGCAGCTGGTTACATCCAGTGCATGCACGAGGTCCACATGTTTGTGTCCAGCTGTCCTGGGATAGATGCGACGGTGGCGGCTGAGCTCCTCAACCATCTCCTGGAGTGCATGCCCCTGAATGAGGACCACCTGCAGGACATGCTGACGGATCTAATCACGGACACTTCTGAGGGCAACAGCAGCAGCAGCACTTGGCATGGAGGCAGCGAGGCGCTCTGCGCTTCTCTCGCTTCTCCTGGTGAACGGAGTTTCTCCTGCGGGTCATCTTCTGCCCTCTCCCCAACCCCTTCCTCCATGGCCAGTGAAGACTTGTGCTCTGACCTGGATGAGACTGACAGTGATCACAACCAGAGCTCTACAGAGGGCATGGAGAACAGGGAGCCTCCCAGTATGCCCACCATGACCTACCCCTGGTCTATGTGGAGACCTTGGTAGAGTAGTGGTGGGAGTTTGGAGGGAATACAGTTGGGATGTGTTGAAAGGGGGATTATGGGCTTTCATTTTTATGGTGTGACACAGCACGTCCCACTGAAAGAGAAAATTCCACCCTACAATACAAGAGGATTTTGTGGCTGTACCAGTTTTGGCCTCCTATAAGACCGGTTAAGAAGGCTGACTACATGCATGGATTTTTTTTCTTAGGCCTCCTGAACTCATGGCACTGATGTCCAATAATTAAAGTCTGTTCTCTTGAGACCAATTTAGGCACCAACAAAAGCCTCAGCTGATCACTCTGCAGTGATTCTGAATACCGGCGTGCAGATGGATTTTCTTCACAGTCACTACTGAATACAAGTTTACAGAGATTTCCCCCAATTCTGGGAAATGTTTGGAATCAGAAAATGTAAGAGAACATTTCATCAGAAGTCATTCCTGGAGTACTTTGGACATTTATATATATTTCAAATTAAAAGTGGATTCTCCTTTATGCCATCAGAGGGATCTGCTACACTCTGCTACGCTTTCAGCTGGAGGCTCAGAAAAATAGCCCTCCTGTTCTTTTCAGTAGTAACACCCTGGCTTTGAGTCCTCTTGTGACTTGTCTTTACACCTGGAGAAACAAAAAGCAATCCCTCTCAACACCCAACAAAGCACAGAAAAGGCAACAGTGCAGGACTCTCCCTCTTGTTTGGTCTATACTTCAGTGTAAATAGGATTTGTACAAGGAGAAAAGCTCTTTCTAGAAACTGAGAAGTCGGGCGATGCCCCAATTAATATAAATATTTCTATTGCATTTCAGAGGTTCCTTTAGTTTATCGGACCAGTAGTTCCTTTAAGAATGACCATTTTATGTTGTAAAGCTGTTTAGAAATGTCTTGCGAATAAAATGTCTGAATTTTTCTAAATAAAATAACGTAACTGAAAACTTCTTTGTCTGACGTGACTCCAGCTTTGGAATAGAAGAGAGAAACTGGGTCAACGTGTTTGTGTCTGAAAATACTGATAAAGCAAACCGTTTCTGAAAACAACAGCAACCCAAACACTTGAATAAGTAGCCCAGTGCATTCAAAAGGAAAAGTATGTCCTTCACTTAAACTTTCATCGATTCATACAGTGAATCGATGAAAGTTTAAGTGAAGTTTAAAGCGCGTGCATGCGCGCGCGCGTAAAGCAGTCGCACCTCTCCGAAAGTGTCTTCGCTCTCACCTCTGTCACAATGACCGTGTTAACAAATGCGTGTTAGATCCTGTCTGGACCAGTCACCCAGACGCACCGTCGGAGGTCCTCACAAAGGGGCAACTCCCCTCATCCCTGCTATAATCGCATGCAGTAAGAGTCGGGTGTTGTGCCACAAAGTGATTTGCGGTATTTGCCAAAAAAAAAAAAAAAAGATTTCCCCCAATTAAACAGCTATAAATGACTTGCTGGCGCATAATCTGTCAAACATATCTGTCATCACACCAACAACAAGTCATTCTGAGCCACAATCAGCTGAAATCCATTTTTGGCAAAGTGATGTTTATATATCCTTTATTTATGCTGCTAAAAAGTCTCGTTGACATTAAAATGCCTTTTTTTTAACGAGTGATCTGGCCGAAAGGGCAGCGGAAATTATAAACAAATATAACACAAGACTTCTATAAAGATATTTTCGACTGGAATGATTATAGTGTAGGTATACTTACGCAGAGCCATAAAGATACTTGCACCTGTTTCTACTCGTAAAAGTAAATAACATGTCATATTTCACAACCATTAGGTTACAGCTAATAACCTAGGTGGGGGAACCGCACGTTGAGCACGTTGTTCACTGTCTGATGATCCTGGATTACTGGAGGAGGAGGCAGGCTAATTATCAACCCCCGGTGGAGTATGGGGGCTTGGAGGCTCTGGGTGTGAGCGTCGGAGGAAACATATGCGAAGAGGAGCTGATCAAAGCTTTGAGCCACTGTTTGACAGCGGAGCGTCAAAGTATGTGGAGGTTTGGGGGGGGGGGGTACTAAAATGGTCCAAGTGCATGCTGAGATTCTTCACCAGGGCACAGCACACACACTAATACACTTGCAGGGATATCTGTGTGAGGACATCTTTTGACATAGTGCACTCCTTTCCCCAGTCGTTGCAAATGCCATAGTCTAACCCTAAAGCCTCCTAACTCTGAAAGAGGAGGTGTGGAACAGGAAAATGATCTAACAATGTTATGATCTAAAGGTTGAAATGAAACAAATGAATCACACTAGAATCAAACTCAGACAACTGCACTTGTGCTAGTTTCACTCCCCTTTGTCTGGTATTTCTGTTCCTCTCAGTATTATTTTGTGTGAACTAACAGATTCAACGAAAACATGATGAGGGAGGTCAAATTATTTTTAAAATAAGGAAAATTTGGAGCAGGCCGTTTCATCGGCTAGCTAGCACAAAAATGGCTTTAAGATAGTCAATATACAGAAAATGTTTCTGTGCTTGTGACTTATGTTTAATAGCTCAAAACCTGGGATGTTATGATAAATCCGGTGACTGTTAGCCAGTCATATCTGGTTTCAGACAGTTAAGTCCATAAATGTATGCTTTTTACCCAAACACACCTTTAAGATGTTATCAAAGGTACTTAGACACATTCAATTACACCCACACACCCATTCTGTCTACCACAGGACTCCACAGAAATCCCCAAAGCTTTCATTTAACCAAAACGTACCTGATGCAAACTCACAGCATCATAGGAAATGTACATTTTTAGTCAGATATTTCCAGTAATGAGATCAGTGTACATACAATTAACAACCGTGAATCAAAAGCTGAGTCTTAAGACTTTGTCCTTGGGCAAGATACTAACCCTAGGTTTCTCTCCAATGCATCCATCAGAGTATGAATGTGTGTGAATATTGGAAGCACTTGTACAGGAAAAAAAAGAAAGAAAAAGTTCTTGCATGAACAGGTGTGAGTGGGTGTAAGAGGAAAGTTGCATAAAGCACCTTTGAGTGCTGAATTACAGTAGGAAAAAAAAGAACCAGTCCATGTACCATTCAGATATTACACATCGTGAATGTGTGGTCGGATTTTATGCTGACAGGCCGACAACATTGAGGGGAGGGAAGGCGATCAGTCATGAGGAAGACTTATCTGACCAAATACATCAGCTGTGGGTTTGCGACTACGCTTGTGAATTCTGAGGTTAAAGGTCAGTGCAGTGCAACAGTTGGTGTGAGAGAGGTTCAACAGCAGAAGAGAGCATATGGTGCTGAAACAGATCCCCAGGGGACCCTGAAAAACACCCTCAGGACTCTCAACTGTTTTTGACTGTTCGAGAGAACAATCGCCTCTTATGAGCCGGCGGGGGGGATGCTTCTGTGTCCCATGTAAGACACAAATTTATCACATTATGCATTTGCTTTTTAAAATAAATGTCAAAATGTCGTTGCAGCCCTTATGCTGCTACGATCAAACCTAATTATTCAGATTTCCAGCTCCAATAGAGGATTGTTACAGACCCCCTCCTTTCCCTCCAAATTCACCTGCTTGTCTGAAATGATGCATTTCAGCTTCTCTCCATTTAAGCCAGTTTCCTTGGCTGCCCTTTGCAAGTTAAAGGTTTGAACAGCAAGTGGTTGGAGCTCTGAAGCTGAGATGAACGTATTAGGGTATCCACTCTCCCTGACATCATACAGAGCCAGGAGTAGGAAAAAAAAACCCTTTGCGTTAAGAGCAGTCTAAACTCTTAAGTCTCAGCTTTTGATTTACAGCCATTACTCGTACATACACTGACCTCATTACTGAACATTTTGCAATGTTGAATGACTGAATTTTGATGCACGTTCGTTTCAAGTGTTAGCAGAAACATTAAAAAGGAGTCAAGCAATATTTTTTTCTAGAATTTAAATGTGATTTGTGTGAATGCCAAACACGAAAAGCCATTTAACTGGACTCCATACGCCCTCTTTAGTGTTTAGCTTCATGTATAATAAAAGAACACAGAAATCAGAGTGGTTCTATTTTTGCAGCTTTATTACACAATCCCACTTTCCAAAAATGTTCGAACACTGCATAAAACAAAATAAAAGCAAAAGCTACACATTTAAACTCTCTCTTATACATATGTATAAAGACAACATATTTAATGTTAAAACGGACACATTTCAGAAAAGAAAATGCAGCATTTTGAATTTGTCTCTAGGATTTGCAGGTCCATGCTTTTAAGTTTTCATTTAAAATTTTATGCCACATCCCAACATTTTTGGAAATGGCGCTGTTCAACATTGTCAAACAAGACATCTCACCTCAAAATTTTAAAAAGCACAGAAATGTGCCAGATTCTTATACCACAGACTCAGTAATGAGACAGGTTTATATAACCATACACGACATCACGTGTCGATACTGTGTGTACGCATTTACAGGTCAAGGAACGTCCAACAGATCACCAGTGCAGTGTTTAAAATCCGTCTCTCTCTTTATGGAGACTTATGAAACAAAGTCAGTTTTAAACTGAGACATATCCGGTCTTTTATACACAGGTGAGCGTTGCAGGCTCCTTGGAGATACTTTGCACAGAAAAAGAGATTAATGACAGAGAAAGATGCAGTTACTAAAGGTGGTGAGAGGCGCCGTACTCTCCTCAGGAGGAGTCCATAAACCTTTGCCAGTCCGAGGCAAAGAGTCTCCGTACGAGCCCTCAGTCACTGGAATCACTCAAAGTATCTCACCACTCTGTCCATTGCTCTTTGCCCACAGGTGCATACACATTCCACATACGTTCTGCTTACAGTAACATGAACCCGGGATTTATAAGAGGTAGGGTTCGTCCCCAATGACAAACAAACAAAATAAAGACACACAAATAAGAGAAATAGAAAAACAGAATATTTAAAAAAGGACTGCCAAGTTAATGAGAAACCAAAAACCATGAAAAAAAAAAAATAAGTTGGTGAGATGCTCTTGGTCCAGGTACACTTGCAAGCCCTGCCCAACAGTTTCTCTGCCTTAGCACCAGAGTGGTCTCCACTTCTTGTACGGGTTGTGTCAATTAAGCAGAGGCAGGGTGGACCCATTTACTTCATACTTCAGGAGCTGATGTTTCTCAGGCCAAAGTGTAAAAAACCCCACTTTCACCCAAAAAAAAAAAAAAAAAAAAAAAAAAAAAGAGGAAAAAAAATAGCAGGGAAATATCACCCCTCTTATTTGCTACACATGTAATACTGCTTTCCCACCTTCATGCAGACGTCAGTGCCAATGCTGAGCAATGACGTCAGCGTCGCGCATTTGCTCTGGCCAATAGGCTTCACAGTACTCCAGGATCTGTATTGCTGCACCTGCAGATACTCATGATTTAGTCCTTTCGACATGCATTATTTAAAAAATAAAAATAAAAATAAAAACGATTTAAAAAAAAAAAAGAAAAGAAAAATTAGGCATTGGGTTCTAATTTTTGATGCAAAAATAGATCCAGAAAAGAAGGAAAAAGGACTGCATTAAAAACAAAAAAAATCCCTAAAAATGTAGTTATTTGTTCCAAAAGTGAAATTATGTAGTGGAGCTGCACCACACTGACAGAAAAGATATTACTCATCTTTCTAGAAAATGTACGGCTGCAAGTTTCTCTTTAAAAAGAAACAAAAAAGGAGAGTTGGAGTTTGAAGTTTCTACAAGTCCTCGCTCTTAGTGCATCGCTCCTCTGTCATTTGCTTCGTTTTACAAAAATACTTTGGCAGCTTCTTGATCTTTGATGATGCCCACTTTTTGTTATAGCACCTGAGCTGCTCTGTAAGGTCTGCAGAGGCCTGCAACACTTACAGACTGTGCTGTGAAAAAAGGAGAGGCTAGCTCTGCTGCTTAAGCGACTTTAAAATTCCTGTAGCGTTTCCAAGCTTTTAGAAATGCAATACATTAGTCTTTCAGATGAACAGATTCGGCTTAAAAATATTCTGGCCAGATCCTTTGCTAGATAATAAATAACACCCATAAACGGATAGCTTTTATCATTAGGCATAAGATTGTCAGAGTTGAGGAAAGTTCCGGCCAGCCTCCGCATGTCACTCTGCTGGCTGTTGTCTGGTGCTAACACTGCTGCGCCTGCGTACTTTGACTACTCAGGTCCAGGACGAGCAGTGACATAAAAACTCATTCAAAATACAAAAAGTGCCAATCCCTACCCACTGACCTTCATCATCCAATGAGAATCCCCATTATTCTACTATTCAGCTATTCCTAACAAGAAAATGTGGATCCCGGGGCTGTGAGGTTTTTTGGGTTTTTTTTGTCGTTTTTCCGTTTTTGTTATTAAATGGGATCATGTGGGGAGTCAGGAATAAACAAACAAAATTGGGCAGGAGAAACTTCTAACAGCAAAGCCTGGCTGCTTCTGACAGCTTGACACTTAGAATAATAATAAAAAACATTTCAAAATCTTACATATTTAAAAGTAGTATCTCTCAGTCATTAGCTTTAGATTTATAATGTGCTCTGCCTTTAAAAGAGAAATAAATAAAAAAAATAGAGACAGGTCTTTTCAAAGAATGTGTGTGTGAGAGATGGAAAAAGTGACTTGCTGTAACAGCACTACTGCCCCCTGTTGGGGTGCATTAGGAACTGGACCACAGTAGCAGTCCTACACCCACACACAAGCAGTGTACACCCTCCTAACCATCACACTCACAACACAGAGTTCTGCTTGTAGTGTGCATGTATGTGTTCTTCAGGATGGTCAGGCACACAGCTGTTTGTCACATCCATAGTGTCTATTTATGCACATGCCCTCTGCTGGCTGTTTAGGAGCCTGATTCCATTTGAGGCTGAGGCTCCCCAGACTGGCTCTGGGTGTTCTGACTGTCTCTGCTCAGCTCCTCGCCCAGCTCGCTCATGTCCATGTCAGGCAGATCCTCTTCGATGGGTGCCGCTGCCGCATCCTCGCAGTACACACACTCCTGAACACAAACACATGCCATTGTTACCTTACAACATTTATAGATATACATTTAGCTCATTTGAATCCATTTTACGGTTATATTTTTAATTGTTTTGCTTCATTACATTTGTTTTGTCTCATTATTGGCTTGTCAGTTATCTGTAATGACTTTGAGCAGCACTAACTTGCATGAAAACTGCCATCTTCCCTATAAAGTTCATTTGCAGAAAGTAGTGTACAACTATTGTGTTTTTTGCAGAACACAAGTCACGTTATTTTCCATGGTATACTTTTTCAAATTATTTGCAATGGGAGTGCTGTGCGTGTTTTTTTTTTTTAAACTATGCTTAAAGCGTGTTGACAAACTGTGTCTGTCCCCCACCTTAACGTTGATGGCAGCAGGCAGGCCTCCCCTCCTCATCCAGGGGTGTTCCTCCACTAGCTCTCGTCGCTGGTCTGATGTGAAGTGAGGCTGGCTCTTCTGCATCTGCCTCAGCCTCTCCTTGTCTTCCCTCAAAACCCTTTGAATATCTCTGATGGTCAGAAAACAAATACATTTGTGTGAACGATATTTAATGGAGTTAAAAGGTTAATACTTCATACAGGTGGTGAAGCTTATAATATTTAATTCCACTTAGTGACTCACCTGGATGGCATTTGATATGTCATCATGACCTTGTCATCAACGTTGGCCATCAGCAGCCAGAGGGGCTCCTGTAGGACATACTTGATGAAATGCTCTCCCTCCCCTCGAGATGAGACTTTGTCCTGCGGCTTGCCGCCTTCAGACCCGCCCTCTCCCCTCATCTTGTTTTTAGACTTGGGGTCGTGCTCAATAGAGTCGACACTGCCAAAGTATTTGCTGGTGTTGCTGCTCCCTGTGGGGGAGACAAAGACAGAGTCACAAAAACCCCCCCAAAAAAACTTCAATTTTGTGGAAACACTTGTCAGACCTCAATGTTCAACTACTGACCTGTTCTGCTGCCAGAACCGCCGCTAGCTGAGGTACCACAGCCAATGCAGCCTGAGCCTAATCCCGAGCCCAGTCCAGAGCCTGACCCTGAGCCCATGGATCCAGACGTGGCTGATCCGGTACCAGAGTGAGAGTCTTCCTGTTCCTGCAGCAAGATGTCCAGCAGGTCGCAGGATGATGAGTTCCCGTCACTGTGAGCCCCGTCTCCTGGAGACTCCACCTAAGACACAAGGTGGTGCACACATCAGAGATAATTCCACACTCACTCTCCACTGGCACGCTGTGACACAGTTTGTGTTTAAGTGCTGGCACCTGTACAAGTTAGTAACTTTGTTTCAATTCACTGTGTTAGTATTTGTAAATGTCCTGTGGCTCCTACCTGCTGTTGGCTATCAGGCTTGGAGGCGCCTCCGTTCTTATCCCCTGTTGTTCCCACTCCTATAGATGCTGTTGCCGCACTGCCGCCCTGTCCTCCAGCAGAGGCTACTGTAGTGTCCTGACGCTCCACTGAGCGCTGCCCCTCCTCCATGCTCAGCAGATTGAGCTGCAGGGGCGAGCTGCAGCGGGACTCAAACAGCGGCGGTGATGTGGCGGGCTCTCTCGCCCCAGAAGCAGGGGTGGAAGATCGGGACGCCGCACCCTCACGAGGCTCTGCTGCAGGGGTTTTGGGAGGCTCGCTGGAGAGACTGTAGGGGAAAGGTTGAGGTGGAAAGGGGGCTTGAGCTACAAACTGGGCCTGCATTGGGAAAGACGGCTGGGCGGTGAACGGCTGCTGAGTAGCGAATGCGGACTGAGCAGCCTGGAAAGGCTGCTGGGTAGTATAAGGGGTCTGGGCAGCTTGGAATGGCTGCTGGGGGGTGAAGCCAGTCTGCACAGGAAATGGCTGTTGGCTGGTGAAGGGGGGTTGCGTCTGTATGGTGTAGGCTGGCTGAGGGGGCTGAAAGGGCTGCTGGGTAGCGAATGCAGGCTGTGGCTGGGCCTGCTCAGGGAAAAATGGTGGTCTCGGAGCAGCTCCTATTTGTCCTATTTGGGGGAAGATGTAATTGGGTAGCACCAGAGCTACCACAGGTGTAACAATGGGTGCAGGAAACGGAGTGGCAGTGGGTGGGGCTTGGGTGCTCTGCCCTTCTCCAAATCCTGTAGAGAGAGAGGGGTCCGGTCGGGGAGCCTGAGCTGGAGCAGCAGGTGTTGGTGGGTAGAGCGGATATGCAGGGACCATGGTGGGGTAGGACACATTAAAAGCTGACTGCGATGCTTCTGATGGGGACCAAGAGGTCTGGTTGAGGCCCTGGAGAGGGGGGCGTGGTTTACGGTTTGACACAGCGCTGTCTGATGAATCGGGATGCTTCATCCGTGGCTTCTTGGACTTCCTGTTGCGGTTACCCTTCTTGGCAGTAGTTTCTGGCCTAACGGTGCCTTGTTTAGCAGTGCTTCGTGGTCCAGGTGATTCTGAAATGAGGATATAGACGCAGAGGTCAGAATGTCATTTTTGTTGAGCTGGAGAATTAAAAAAAAAAATGCATGTAGATGCGCACTAACTGGAGACCAGGAATATACTCCCCACATGAACTGGGAATTTGGTAAAATCATGAGATTAAAAAAGATAAGATTAAAAAAAGATAGTCAATCTAAAGGTGAGCCTTATTTCCTCTTTGTAGAACTTTTATTGTGTTTGGTAGCCTCAGTTGTTAAGCTTCTAGCTAAACTATATCTTCTCCCAACAAAGCAGAAAAGCTCAATTTGAAGCTTACAGTACCTTCAACACTGGGTGGACCTCTGTGCTTGTACAGGTATGTGGAACAGTCCCTCTGGAAGCTCCTGGAATTACGGAGCTCTCTGCATCGGTTGAGGAAGGCCTGCTCCTCTTTCTGGGTATGTGCTGCCAGCACCTGCTTGGTCAGGCCCAGCCTCTTGTAGGTCTCCTTTCCTTGGCTGGGTGGAGACACCATACTGACAGGCAGCGCAGGGGGTGCTGGGCTCTCTGCAACATCCTCAATTATCTCTGTACAAAGCAGTGCCATAAACATCAGTCAAATAAACTCATTAAAACACGGCTAAAGACAGTCCTGCTATGTTTCTACGGACACAGAAACTCACCAGACTCTGGCTGAGGCTTCTTGTCCCCCACATGTACGATGGTGCTGCTATAGCTGCACTGAGAAGTGATGGACACCACACTCTCCGCCTTACTGGGCAGAGTGAGGGGTGCCAGGGGGCCTCCCACCACAGCAGCTGCCCCAGATGGAGGCTTCTTTAGTGCTTTCATGTTTGACAGGCCTGACTGAGAATCCAACATCAAGGGATCTAAATGAGAAAGATTCTGTTAGTGCTGAGCCAGTACCTTAGACTTTGTGTGCACAGATGCATGATTACTACATACCTGCATTTGTATTCTGAGGCACTTGCATGCCATCCTCTGAGCCTTTCTTGTCATCATCTGAGTTGGAGGAGGTGGTGTTTGAGGAGAACTGGTATTTTCTTTTCACTGTGATGGGTATATTACAACTCTCCAGATACCTAAGAAACAAGAAGGAGTTTTAAATGAGAGAGCTTTGATATTGTGCAAACAGAGCATGATCTCTCTGCCTTTGCACAGGGATTACTGTGCAGATGACTTCATGACCAAATCTATGCCTGACCTGATGACACTATCCAGGCAGCTAATCTGCTGGTAGGAGCACACAGTCTGGTCTTTGTAGGTGAAGCCCTCCATGCTGGCTGCAGTACTGTCTCTGGCCTGCAGAGGGGGCACTGAGTCTTTTGGACGCACAGTTGAATATCTTTGAGCTGCCAATGCTAAAGAGAAGAGGAGATAATATGAGAAACACACACGAGAAGACAGACAGGAGAACCAAAAGACACTCTGCGTGTGTTTCTGATGTACTTAAATTAATAATCACTTTATTTTGAACTTAATAGTTGCCAACTGGACTCACTCTCATGGGTCTTCTTCTGCTCATGTTTGGGGAGAGAAGGTGACGGCGCGGGAGATGGGGAATGCAGACCGATCTGAGGGTCCTGATTCCTGAGCATGTGGACATCTTTACAGACCTCCTGGAAAGTCCTGGCGGGCTTGGTCTTGCCTGTGTCCTCTGCTGTGTTCCCTGCTGTAATGTTCCCATTGCTTTCACTGGATGAGCTGATGCTCACCAGCTGCTCATGGGATCCATTGCTGCCATGGCTACCATAACCACTGGAGCCCATATTGTGGACCGGCTGCAGAGAGAGTAACTGTTAGAGGAGCTGTCAAATGCCTCTTGTGTGTGTGTAAAAGTGAACCGTGTGCGTGCATACTTGAAGCAGCAGCCGGTGAATCTGTTCACTGATTTCCTGGATGTCTGAATCTATGATCTTCCCTCCATGGAAAGCCGGTGCTGCGAAAACATCTTCGTTCACAGGACCCCTGAAACATGCAGGCATAGAGCTGTCACCTAATGTCCTCATAAATACAGATGTCCAAAAAACAACAAAAAACCCCACCACAGTGGGAATACTTACATGCGCACTTTGTGCCTGCCAATGACGAAGGACACCTTGCGGCTCCAGGGATTGACAAAGCTGGACCAGCTGGTGTCGATTGTGATGTACTCACCGTTTCTTGCACAGAAACGTATTGACGAATGATCGAACGGCTGACCAGCGTACTGCAGAACTGTTGGTAACAGAAGGTAAAGTGTGAGCAGAAGAGCTCAGAGTATAAGAACGCAGTGAGACAGTCCAGGTATGCATGCAAATGTTCGTACTTTTGCGATGTATTGCCAGCATCAAGGGTCGGTCACTCGGGTGTAGGTTGAGCAGCACGGGGGTCCCTATCAGGTCCTGAGGGAGGTACCCCAATAAAGGCACAGCCCTATTGGGAAAACAGTAATTACTTTAGTAGAAAACAGGCCAGCAGGATGACTTAACACAAGGCACCACTGTAAGGATCATAGAAGGATTCAGTCCACTCACCTCTCATCCACATCCTGGAACACACAGTTAGGGGTGTGTGTTGTAGTGAAGATACGCTTGTCAGGAGGTATTCTGGGAGCTAGGTGTGCGAAGGGAAGGGAAAAAATGTCAGTAAACAAAATGATTGTACAGTAATCCCCTGAAACAAAAGGATGATAGCATCTCTTGGTTCACATTAAAAGGATTAAACTCACACGAGCTGGTTTTGAACTCTCAAAACACGAGCAAGGGGATTGATCGGTAATAAACTGATCAATTGGATAAAAAACCAACCAACCAACCAACCAACCACTTTTGAACCATTGATTTTTTTTTTGATTTTTAGGCCTTTTTTGAGGGTTGTTTTTTTTTTTAAGGGGGCCTTGGCCCTTTTTCCACTTATTTGTTTTATTTAAACCTTTTTTTAACCTTTTGCCTCTTAAAAAAAGGAAAGGAAGTTTATTCGGTTTAAATTGGCTTTGCGGAAAAAATGTAACACTATTTCCTTGTTTTCCAGGTGATCAGTTTTTATAGTGGCGACAGTATTGGGTGGATGATAACTTGTTTATAGAGATTATCATAAGGCTCACCATCTGTTCGAGTACATACATGGATAAAAACAATAACTAATAAAAAATCCCATAAGCATCTTTCTCTGCTACATTTCAGGCTGTCATCTCTGATTTGCATAGTCTAACTAGTATAAGTTTAACTAGTCTGTGCCATCTATGGTTCAACTTCTAAACGTGTGAAACAAATGACTTTATTTTCCATCTGATACATGTCAGAAGTAACTGGTAAACAAAATAAAACTGCATTCATTACTGGGTGATACGCTTGAGTGCTTTATTAAAACAGTGCACAGTTCTCACCTTCATATCCAGAGTGCACCCTCTCAGCCAGCAGGAGGCAGCAGAACTGCTCCTCAGCCAGCTCAGCGTCCTGGACCTTCATCAGGTACGGAGTCATCCGGAAAGGATAGTATTGGAGGTCTCCTTTGCGGTCCTTGCCACCACTAGAATGCAAACACACAATGTCAAGACCCTTTCATAATAATGAATGCTGGGTTTTTTTGGCTTTCAAAATAAAATATTTTTAAAAAAGAAAGAAAAACGAGCTAAAAGCATTAAGAGATCCTTTTACCAGTTTATCTACTGATCATGTAGTGAAATTACTGTAATTATTTAGTTAACTGTGGTTTTAGTCCTAAGCTCATCATTTCTTTCATAAAAACAACATTTGTGGTAGAAAATACTGCATCTTGTAGAAAAATTAACTCAAACTTACAATGCTCAACCTAACCCTCTTCTGTCACACCAACAATCCTCTTTCTACATCCATGAACCTTTCTTTTGATCCTCCTGTTATCCATGTTCAGGCATATTCCTCCTCTATACATGTCCAAACTAGCTCAACCTATATTATATAAATATACAACTTTAAAGTTTAAATGAGCAATAGCAGGTACCCCATCTGGCCACTAGATGGAGATGAAGTTCAAAAGCTCAAAGCTGCTGACTTCCTTCCTCCCTCTCACTTTTCCCCTCTCCTACCCACCATCCCTCCTCTGACTCAGAGCTTGCTTGGACAGGAAACTGTGGCTCAAAGCATCTGCCGACTGCTGCCACTGACCTGATGCGGCAAAAGAAGGATTTCTCCTGCATGCACTCCGTGGGAGATGACTCTGAATAAAAAGAAGAGGGGAAAAAGGTCGGATGAATAATTGAATTAGCATGAGTAGTTCCCACTCAGCCATCTGTCAGTCATCAATATTCAAAATACTCTTCAGCAGACCTGAGATGTTTGCCTCTCATGTGTCATAGATAAGAATGCAAGAGATGCAATTATACTACAAAAGTTAATTTTTTTTTTAAAAAGTCATTTTTGAGACAATTTACAAAAAAAAAAAAAAAATTATAGATGCTTATGAGTGGAAATGCTGGAATTCACTGGACCGATACCAGCTTCCAGTTGTTAAAGTGGGAGTGCAATCAACTATAGAACATAAGTCCCTTTGGAGAAAATTTTTGAAAGATAATGCACAAATTTGTAATCTCTGAAATGAGTTTTAGTAGAATTTATATGACCACTGGGCAGAAAATTATATTACAACCCACTAATTCACCAACTCTGTGATAAGAAGAACCTAAATGCAATACAACCTGAAGGTGTACACATCATCAGTTAACACAGACCTGACTGCCAAACATGCCACATTTGTTAGCGTCATACATTTATTAATGTGTGATTGAGAATGCTAATGAAATATGTGCTATGCATGTATGAACATGAGTATGTGGAGGAAATACTTCCATGTGCAGGTGGTGCATGTGTTTCATATTGGTTTGCTGCGTGACCCTATTTTGGAAATTTTACAATCCGTGTCTACAGTGCCCCTTACCATACTGTACGACCAATTATGTCAAGGAGGCAAAAATTTATCTAATTTATATTTATACATATACACGTGTGTGCTTTTGTGGAGCATTCGTCATCCTTACCTGCTCCTGTGCACATGCTCCATGAGGGCAGGCGGTATGGTGTGGTGAAGCTGTAGAACACGCTGACATCCTGAGGAGTCAAGAACTCCACAAACTTGGCGTTGTCGAACACTTCCCGCTTGCAGTTCAAGATGGATGCTGCCTGGTCAGAGATGTAAACAATCTTCCCCGTGATGAGAGACACTGCTACAGCGAATATATCCTAAAGGCAAAAACAAAAAGATATTAATCATTTAGGATTACCAAATTAGGTACTTCTAGCCCTCTCAGAAAATTTAAAAACACATCTTCAAACTGACTACTACTCAGATGACAGATCGGCTGCTCCTTATCATCCCCCACTTTATTCTTTATCTTACGTCTGTTATTTTTTCCACATCAACTTCAAGAATAAATAAACAATAAAGCTTGTTCTTTTTCTTTTTTATAATGGTCATCACCCCTGTGGAGAAAACTCTGCCTTTTCTGGCTTCCCTCTTGAATGCTATAATTAGGTTTCTTGAGACAGACTTTCTCCTGCTTTTGTTGCCTTAACAGTGCAGGGAAATGGGGGTGGTGGTGGTGGTGGTGGTATCCAAATAAAACTGTAAGATAAGATTGTAGGTAGTGAGCCTAGAGTCTTAGGCTCACTACCTGCAAGCCCATGGATGCGTCTGATTTACTAACATACATACATGCACTGACACACACTTTACACGAATAAAAGTGTTGGGCCACAACTCTTAATCTGTAAATTCAGGTGTTTTCAGTCTCATGGCTACGAGTGTATATAATCAAGCATCTAGTTATGCAGTTATGCAACTAGATCTTCCTAAATTTGAGTCTGGCTGAGTGTTACTGGACTAGGATGCCACTGTTGTAACAAGTCAGCTTGTTAAATGTCTTCCCTCTAAGATCTTCCATGATCAGCTGTAAGTGGTATTATTGCAATGGGCGAGTCACAGCATATCAACCACAAAGCAGCAGACCACATAAAGTTAGAGAGCTGTATTGACTGTAAGTGCTGAGGTGCATAGTGCAAAAGTAAAAGTCGTCAATAATGTGCTGATTCCGTAACTGCAGACTTCCAAAACTGATATGGTATTAACATCAGCACACAAACTGTGTACCAAGAGCTTCATGGCACAACCTTTTATGGCTGAGCAGCTGTATGCAAACTTTACATCAACAAGCACAAACTCAACCGCTGGACGGAGCGGCGTCGAAAGTGAGCGATAAATTGCACCTCTCTTTAGTGAAAGAACTTTGACTGCACAGAGCCCTGACCTGAACCCCATCTAACATCTATGGGAAGAACTAGAAATTGGAAGTTGTATCCAATATTGCTATCTAACCTCACAAAGGCACTTCTGGATGAATGGGAAACAAATTCCCACACACGAACACGCACATACGCACGCGCACACACACACACCAGCTGACTGGCCATATCTCACTTGCCAACTTCATTGCTTCCAAATCTAAGTAGAAATGAAAGTTGGCTAACTTGCCAAGTTACTTCACCAGCTAATATGACTCATGATACAAACTTCTGAATAATGTTGAAAAAACACGGACGATACTTAACAGTAAATCATAAAATGTCTCAAAGAAAGAAAATAACTAACAGTTGTTTTCTATAGTAACAGCTAATAGCTAGCCAATTAGCTATATTGCATGTATCTAATATTGGTAGTTTGCTCATCTCCATAACTTTGTTATCACGGTTATCATTAATAACATTAGCTCAGGTGGCAGAGCAGGTCAGCCACTAGTCAGAAGGTTGGTGGTTCGATCCCAGGCTGCCTCCTGGCTGCATGCCAAATATCCTTGGGCAAGATACTAACCCCATGTTTGCCTACTGGTGGTGGTCAGAGAGCCCGGCAGCCTCGCCTCTGTCAGTGCGCCCCAGGGCAGCTGTGGCTACAATGTAGCTTGCCATTGCAAGTGTGTGAATGTGTGTGTGAATGGGTGAATGACTGAATGTAGTGTGAAGCGCTTTGGGGTCCTTAGGGACTAGAAAAGCGCTATACAAATGCAGGCCATTTACCATAACATTGGTTTTCACCATTCAGGCATAAGACTGGTTTAGCGGTTTATCCTTTAAGATGAGGTAAAGAGCGGTGGTACTTACGGTGTTTTTAAGGGTGTATTCCGAGGTGATGCTGTTGATTTCCTCAATGGTGTAAGATGTTACATCAAACCCTGGTGGCTGACTGTCGTTAATCATCAGCATCTGGTAGTACTCCTCATTGGCTGCAACCAAGACAATATGGATAAGTGAACACGTGAGATAAAAGTTTATTTTCAGTATGTAAGTAAGTATAACATCAGTCATACAACATGAACACACAGATAAAAACAATGCACACAAGGCAAGTCTTACCTTTCACCTGTTTGACACAGCGCAGTGCATACTTGAGAGTGTTGACAGTGCTCGACTTGCCCTTGCTCCTTTTTTCTGACGGCAAGTGCATCTTCAGCTCCTTGAGCGTCTTGAAGAGCTCCTTCTGTGTCTTAGCTTTGGCTGACTGTTCACTGCTGCAGGACCCAAATGAGACAGAGACATGTGTGTCAACATGACAAGATCTCACCATTGATGTCACACTCGGCTTTCCAGCAAAGGAAGCAGAACAGGAGGGGAACGTACTGACAAGGGGTTTTAGACCTTTCTGTTCACATTTCCAATTGTTGTTGCATTAAATACCAGTAGATTTGGGCTGGGCTTTTTTTCAGAAGTGTACTAACCTGCAGCCACTGGTTGATGGGTTGTCCTGCTCGGAGCTCACCAGACTGAAAGCATTGGAGCTGCTTGGCGGGGAGGGGCTATGAGAGTTTGAGCTGTAATCACAAGGACAATGTCATGTTATGAACAAAGGTGTGCAGGAAAACCAGAAAACGCATAATGAAGAGCAAACATTTTAAGTGATTCAGGAATTTGATGCTATAGGCTGTTCTTAGAATTGCACCGTCATATGAACTGCTCTTTTTTTTAAATATTGGAAGGACAAATAAAGAAAGTGAACAAGTGTTAAGTGTAATTAACCAATTATATCCACGTGCGCTTTTCAAGTCACATGAAAATTTATATTTAAAAAGAAAATTTCAAGTCCTTAATTAATTTAGTTACCTCTGAGGCAAATACTAAACCTTGAAAAGAAGACTACTATGATAATGTACAGTGGAAAAAAAGAAAGAAAAAAAAGGAGCATTCAAGAAACACAAATTGCAATGGAAAGTTCTGTGGGCAGTTAAACAACCAGGTCAAGCCACCCACAAAAAGCTTTTTTTGAACAAGTTATAAACTGACTTTTGGCATAGACTTTTTACAAACATGCATTTTATTTCTCTTGGATGTTTGCCTCAAATTTAAGTCGTGACAAAAAGGTTCACAAAGTTTGTTCTTAAACGTGATAACGTCCTATTTTGAAACAGAGTATGAAGAGTATGACAAACGGATGTGGTTCTGTGGACACTGTACAGTCGATGCACAGACAGTATAAAAGATGGATGCAGCTACCGTGATGTCATCCACTGGTTTCTGATGTACCATTTAGTCTCTTAAGTCTCGAGATTAGCACTTTCACCTTTGCAATCTTCTTTTCCCTTTTTAAATTTTAGATGACATGAAATTAGTCACTGAAGCAATAAACTTATTAAGAAGGACATTAAGTTAGAAAGACATTTTCTCATATACTTCTAAGGAATAGGGCTTTTAAGCAAGCCCTATTATAAATCCCAAGTTCAATCTATCAGAGTCAGTGGAATGAAGGAAACACAGTATTAGGTGTGGAGTCTAATCAAGATGAGGCGTCACTGTTGCAAGTATAGCTGACATGTGTTTCCAGTATTTTCTCCCCCCTTGTGGATGTAAATGGAGATGGAGAAAGCATCAGCATTGGATATGTAACAACAATCTTCACCAAGTGTGCCATTTTCTTCAAACAAGACTATTATTTAAAGGATTGCATCTCAGAATCCCATATGGTTAATCAAAAAAAGATGAGGCCACCAGAAAACTATAAGTGGGACCCGAATTGAAATCAAATTTAATGACATGTAATTATTAGGTCCAATAATATGAGTGTGAGCTGAGTATTTCACACCCTAATGAGTATGGGAAATAGTGAAATATCAATAAACTAGAAAGAGTCTCAATAATATTCACTTTTCCTGCAGTTTCTCTTCCAAAAAACAAAACAAAACAACAACAACAACAAACAAACAAAAAAACCCCAAAACAAAACATTTTGATATGAACCTATATGTCATGATTAGGAATAAACACCAATTCCCAAGTTGCTTTCCTCCAGCTTAAGCAGTCTACTGGACTATAGCAATGACTCAGCCCAGCAAAACTCAAACAGCCCTTCAATGACTTTAATGAACCTTACTTCCGTGACCTAGTTGGTCCGCTCCCCCACCGTGGTGGGAAAAAGAAAAAGAAAACAAAAAAAACTTCATTTACCACGATTCAGTGGTTTCGATGAGTTCTCACCTCTTGTTGCTCCCCGAGGACTCCATGAGAGCGGAATCCTTGCCATTGCCGTTTGAGCTGCCCACCGACTCGTTGCCGTGGGACTCATTGCCATGTGACTCGTTGCCATGGGATTCTGTCCCGCTCCCGCTCGAACCACTGCCACCCATCTCCACATCCTCGTGCAAAGGTGGGCGCGGTCTCTTCCTGTCATCATGCGGGGACCCCGGGTGCTCGTGGCTGCTATCGCTCCCCTCGGAGGCCAATCCTAACTCTGGTTCGAGTTCGACCCCATCTTGCCCGCCACAACCCTCCCTGTAGCTGGCCATGCGGTGAAGCTGGCTAATGGAGCTGCAGGGAGTGCCCTGCGCTTCCTCCACGTGCAAGCCTGCCCTTTCCCGGTTCCGTTCACGCCCGTCCAGGGTTGAGTACAGGTACTGCTTTGGATCACTATCCTCAGACATGGGACAAGTTAGTGATGGAAGATTAAGTTACCTTCCACATGGCAATGCCACAAAGTTGATGGCACTTTAGCATAAATGGGGTTGTTGTCTCAGGAGTGGAAATGCAGTCTGAAATAAACAAACAAGACAAAAAACAAAACAAAAACAGGTGAAATTACTCATACCAACACTTTACAGCACAGTACACTTCTAATGATAGAAGATCAATAGCAGAAGGAACACAACTCTAATATTAGAAGCAATCAATGTGGATTAAATCAACCCATCTATCAAAGTACAGTAGCCATGACTTTGATCTGATCAACCTGTGTGGCCTCACATCTCCACATTTTCAAAAGTCAATCATAAATAAAAAAAGGCACCACAGCACAGATAAAATGATCTTGCTGTTACACAAACACAGTCACACCAAAGGAGCTGCCATACACTTTCAAAAGGTTTGCACAGTAAATAGGCCAGTCGTTTGCCCTTTCCAGGTAGACATCAGTCCCAGACCAGCTTAATCTGGTTCAGTTTTTCAAATAAAAGGTGAGTCTCCAGAGATGAAACACAGGTCTGCTGACACAGTACAAACAAAAACCTCCGCTGCCTGCACATAATCAGGACCAACTTGGATGTGAGAAGCAGAAACAAAACAAAAGCATGAAAATTGGGTTTTATTGTTTAAATAGTCTCCTGTATGGATGGCTGCATCACAAATTACACGATGAAGCAGTAGGAGGAAAACCTGACAAGCAGTCTTTAAGAGAAACAGCCGTATCATTAATGTTAAAGATACAGCTCCCACACATACACATTAACTGTCCATATTAAAAATCAAAGATAGCCTTATGTAACACAGTACAGTGACTGTGGATGCACAGTCCTTTTAGCAATTACCTTTAAAAAAACAAAACAAAAAAAAACATATTATATTTCATAATTATTTAAGTGAATATATATGGCCTGTGTTCTCATTCAAGTCAGTGTTAGAACTGACCTGATCATTGTGTGGCCCCTAGACCACATTAGGCCCTTTAATTGTCCCTGAGCAGCCCTCATGAGTTTAATGGGAAATTAGGACTTCCCAATGCTTCCCATTTTAGCCACCAATAGCACTTTATACTATATAATACTGAACAGAACTAAGTTCAGCTTATTGGTGTGACCCTCCAAAACAGTGGCCCCTTGAGAAAACTAATTGTCCACTTCTGTGTTAGAAGTTCAGCCATGCTGTAAATAGAGACCTTTTTTCACTTGCTTCTGGAAAGCCGCAATTAAATAAGAGCCTTTAGAAGATCTTGGGGAGTAAAAGCTGGTCTCCAAAAGACAAATACAAGATCCAGTTTTATCAGTTTTTATCCTCCTACAATTACCTCAGCAGTGGTTGGAGCTATTCGTGTCTTTCAAAGCTGAACAGGAAATACCGGCAACAGGTACTGAGGCCAAATCCAAACTATTTTACTGTTTTGCTGCTCTCCAGTGTCAGGTTGCAGCTATTTATGTAAGCGCGCACATTCAGCAGCCTGTCTATTCTTCTTTCTCTTTACATAAGCACTTTTACATAACTTCTCAAAGTTTTAAGAGTAGGTTGTTCTTTTTTTTTTTTAAAAACTAGAATATATATATATATAAATAAAAACACAACCCAGCAGTCTTTCCAAACCACCCACTCCACTTAGAAAATGACCCACTCTTGTTTAAAGGAGGCAGCAGCCAGGCGCTGTGAAGAGATGTTTTATTGGCTGCTGGAAATGACCAATCGGCAGAGAGCAAGGAGTTACAACTGGTTAGAATAATGTCACCCAAACAAAAGAGAGACCACAGCTTGTAATCATGGCAACAAAATATTTATTCCTATTACTATTATTTACATTCTCTTTGAGGAAATAAGACCAGCATTTCCTAGAATTGTGTCCTCTAGTTACTTTCTATACATGTCAGCACATATCTCATAAAATCACACGGGGAAATTTTGTTTATAATATACGAGCTAAAGTTAGTTTTATTGCTCAGATTATTTCATATAGGGAGCCTGAAGAGCTAATAATAAATGCACAAAAAGAGAAAAAACATTAGGTTAACAGACAAAAAACTAAGTAATTGAAGTATGTTTATGCAAATCATTCCCCACATGTGCTTATGTGGGAGCAGTCCACTATGGATAAACTGAAGCTTTACTAAACTGTAAATCACACACAAACACGACCATATGTTAAGCACTGATCCCTGAAACTCGTGCAAACTGTCATAACACCGGCTTCCCTGTGGACATAACACAGAACAAACCATACATGAAACTGCTGAAGAAAATCTGACTACTATCCTGTATTTTAAAGTGTGTTCAACTTCAATGAAAGACCATGCAGTGCAGACGTTGGCTTACCAGTGACCCCCCCTTCCTCCATCAACATAACAAGAAACACCAGCATCCAAGCACAAAAGTACAACTCCAACCACCAGAGAGTCTTCCCAAATTCTCTGCAACACTGCCGAACACATCACTGAGCAGAATAATAACATAATGAAACTGAACTCCCTCTGCTTCCAGCTCAGCCCTCAACTAGAGGGCTTATACAGCCAGCACACTAGCACAGATCTCAGGCATTATACAACCCTGCTCCAGTCACATGGATTTGGCCATAGCGCAGCACAAAGCTATGGTAGCCTTGTTTCATAAAACCCACATGGTTTGTCTTGTAAGTAGCTCCTCCTGAAGTGCACTTTTTTACTGGCATGCGAAACTGAAATCACATGAAGACCAATAAAGGCATACTGTTACATTTTTGAGAAAAATAAACTCATCTGACAATCCACACAAAGTTAAAACATGGCTTAACAAATATTAGTGGAAGACAACATCAATATAGATGTAGAAAGATGCTGCACATACGGTGGCAAAACCTAGCATTTTTACTTAACCCCCTCCTGTTATGGCCCATCTCAATATGCAATAAAAATGGCATCAGACCGAGTGAGTTACATCACAGTGTAGGCCACCAACTTAAGATATTACTTATTAATGATGACTGCTGACATACAAGTTGTAAAAATTGTTAAAAGAAGACACCGGGGTGTGTGTGTGTGATTATTGTCACACACTTTTTTTCCTGTAGCTGCATGTTGCCATGGTATAATCACTGTTTTGGCCTTGTGGGAAACTGCTTTGTAACATAAAAGCCACACGTTTGGGGTGAAAAATAAAAGACAGCTCAAGTGACATTTTTAGGCTTCAAATAAATGCTTTTGAATAACATGCGCGGTTTCTACTTTTTTACTTTTTTTTTTTTTTTAATCTGGCAAAAGTAGTAGTTTTAGGTAGAAATAATCTTAATCTGATTATTCTTCTTCCCCTGTCTGTCAATCCAAACATTTAACAAACACTTTTAAAAATCTTATATAAAGAAATTAAACCACTTCCTCGGGCCATAATTGTGCCAACAATTCAAAGCCATTTTGTAAAAGTGTTTCGAGTGCGAGCAGCTAAAAAGTAAACCTGACGAAGAGCCTTTTTATACGTCTAATATTACACTTCCGTGCATATGAAATTTCTCACATAGATACTCTCGTATTAGATAACGTTTATATTAAAGGAAAAAACATTAAAAATGACCCCCCTTCCCCCATCTGACTCCCATTGACCTGCTATTTAAAATCCACACACACGTTGACCTGCAATCCAGTGCACGGTACACTGACACAGTTATGTAAAAGTAACCGAATCGTTAAAAAGCAGCCACGAATCCACGGCGAGATACCCGCAGAGGACATATTTCATAAAAGCTAACATTTATCTAGCTGTCTGACTGAACAGAAAAAATATAACCGGCATTTTTTGGTTTTAAAAGTACAAAAAGTAGAGCAACTCGGGGTTCACGCATGCGCAGACCGCATTTTTGTTATGCAACTTATTTTTTCGCTCGTCAATCTTTTTTGCTAAAATGAAAGGGCGCAAATGAAAGCTGACCAACCTGAGCAGTAGTTGGAAAAATCCTCTCTCCGGTGGTCTCCAACGAGATGTAAAATCAAAAGCGACACGTAAAAACTATCCAGTTATACCGTTCAGTATTCCTCAATGGGAGCAGAGCGTCAGACGGCTTGACACAGTAGTGAATGGATCCTCCCCGGTTCTCCCCCGCACAAGCCTATCAGCGAATCGCAGAGCCCGGCTCGCGACCTCAATTTAGACTCCTCCCTGTGCTTTTTCCGATTGGCTGGATGCAAGGGGTTTCCATGGAGAACGTGACGGAAATGCGATATCGGAAGCTTATTGGCCTAAAGTGCTGTCCGTCGTTTTATATAAACAAGGCTTTGACTGCACGTGGAATCTCATGTTGTGTGAGAGTGGGGCAGTTACGACTGCGTGAGTAGCAGAATCCACAACAACCTATCAAATGTTAAAATTACATAAATGAAAAAATACAAGGAGGAAACGAACAGGAACTGATGATGACAGAGAGAAAAAAGTGTCACAGAAAATGACACTCGCACTTGCCTTCCCGAAACTCATTTCGGGAAGGCAAGTGCGAGTTATTGCGTGATTGCTGTTGGAAGCCTTGAAATGTTTCACCTGTGTGACCTTTTCAACAGATGCGCAAGCATCGATAATGCAGTGAAAGTGTTTATCGAAGCAAAGGGACAGGTCTGTGGTGGGGAAGCTTGACACATTCTTACTTGCGTCACATCTATTTCTACCCTTCAGTTGTGGCGAGTTTTTTTTCCATTCAGAGACCACAGATAAATCATGCCCACATACATTTGTTAGTTAACGTACAGATGTTTATCATATGCCATGCAAACAAACCAAAGCAAAGTACATTTTATAAACGGCCTTTACGTCTTGATTGCGTCATTATGCTTTGAAATAAAAGGTTTGCAGTCTTTTGTTACATTTTTTTAATGGGCTGCTATGTGCCAAGCTTATTCATCACTGTTTTTCTGGGACTGGACAGCACCTGCTGGATATTTTTTCCCACAAGCTGGCATGATAGCCACAACACAATATTTTCTCTTTTCTAGCCAAGATCCTCCACAGAGCAGTTTACCTGCGTAAGCAGGATTCTAAGCTTTGTAACTGCTTGTCAAGTGGCAGCCACCCACCCTGGCTCAGGTAGCAACACACCATGAAAAAGCCTGCACTCCTTAGAACATGTGAGAACGAACACCCTCCTTCTCAGCCTACACTTTATAAAGCCACTTTTATGATATCACCCAGAGCCCAGCAACAGGCTCTCCAGCTGGCATGTTTGCTTTGTGTTTTTCTCAGGACATCTTTGGTTATAAGTGTAGGTGGATCTGACTCTGTATAATTAGACTGATTCATGAATCACCCCTCCTTTAACTCCTCCCTAAACTACGCGCATTTGCTGGCAGTGGGAGCAGGCTTGGAGATCCTGGAGGTGGGTGGAAGTCCCTAAACAAGACTGAATCATGCTGTGTATAGCTTCATCTGCTTTGACTGTTGTTCATGATTATCTAACCAGAAATCCTCTTCATTAATTGCCCCACATGTGAAACTACACAGTTCATATTAGCCATTTGTCTGCTTTAAATGTTTTTAAGATGTATATATTTGGATTCTTAAAGATATGGCTAATGAATAAGAAAATAAAGTGAGGCGTGAAAAGTGTAGAACATAACTTTTTTGCCTTGAAATATCTGTTTGGATGCAAACATAATTTATATACAGTGTTATCAGGGTGTAAAGGATGACACAGCAACCTCTGGATGCTGGAAAATGAAACCACTGCAAAATTTCTAAAAACTGCAGTACCCCTAAACGCCACACGGGCTGGCTCCAAAAGCAAATCACTAGTCATATAATTTCACGTGAAAATGTCCAGTTTTACAGAATTTAAAAGCATTCAGCATTAGTTTACAGCTATGCCATTGTACCTGACACAAGCTATGAAGTAACAGAGGCCTGAATTTTGGACCCTTTTCGAAAGAAGACAGGAAAGGCAGGAAAAAACGGCATGAATCAGTGGGTGAAACTTTCTATGGCTTTTACTTTGAAAAGTTTATGGTATTCCTACAAAATGATGGCTTGGACTAGAGTCCCTCTTACTGGGTTTAGGGGGCTAAGCTGATGCATACATCATAAGCAATTGTTTTGGAAGGTGTGACTCAAAGGCACAGTGGGGTCAGAACCAGTAACTTTTCCCCCTTATACTATTTTAATGCCAAATGAAGGAATAATTCTGTATATCTTTATATATACAGTTACTTCTAAAACCTAGGGAGGATGAAGTCCTTTCAAAATTTCTAGTTCTTATTGTATTGCAACTCTAGCCCATAAGTCTCTTCAGAAGTGTTGCCATTTGTACTGATAGGTGCTACATCTGATCAGTTCTGGACTTAAGTAGTTCAGTGTCCTGAACATGACCTGTGTCCGTGTGCTTTTTGGAGCATTTCTAATGGAAGTATATGATAGACTGTGTGGTGCAACCTATCTAAAAGGTTTGTGCTTTAAATTTCAGTAAGAAAATCTACTATTTTATTAGTCTGATACTTGGCACCAATTAGTCTGTGTGTTGAACTTATATAGTTTATTAATGCAGCTTGCTAACATGGCTAGCCAGCCTTAGCTGATAACATAGCAAGCCACCATCCCATATAAATATGGTCACATTTGTCTCCAAAAAAACCTACCATGGTGGCAGGACAAAATGCTAATGTTGAGCCTTCTAAATGCCCACAAACAGTCACATCGAAGTAGCTACATCTATCTGTAATATACAGTCTGTGGTGTAGTGTGAAGTCATCAGTGATGTAATACAAATTATATTAATATGAAGCTGCTATTAGAGATTCGTTCCTAACTTTTACACATTTTAATAGTTGAAAAAATATATATATATATACATACATACACATACACACACACATACATATATATATACACACACACACACACACACACA